CCCCGCCCTGGCCACAGCCTGCAGCAGCAACCTACCCTCACCCCACATGCAGATCCGGGGGCGCACGCCTCCTATGCCCTCCCAGGGTGTGTGCAGTGGTGGGAGTCGCACCCCCTCCCTGAGCCCCCAAATGAGCCACTCATGGCTCTATCCCACGCCCCACCCATGCAGTGCCTGCCCCAGCACCAGCTCCACTCCCTTCCTCACCACAGAGGCCTCAATCTCCCCAACCACGCCCCTTCTCTCACAACAGACTTACCAGCCAGACCCTGCTACTCTCCACGCTGCTGGGCTGCATTCCTCGCCAGCTGCATGCTGCACTGCAGCTGTGCGCATGCACGGGGCACTTTATCAGTGGCATTATCAGCCAAATCGGCCAAAAAAGCCGATTGCTGATAGTCATTTTTCCTTATATCGGTGCTGATCCAATATGAGACCAATGTATTGATGCACCTCTATATTCTACTTTTCCTCTAAAGCAGTCTTGCTTTATTCAGTGCAACAGGGTGGACCTATTCAGGGGTACATCAGAACTGTGTAGTGAAGGAAACTGTTAATTATGGAAGACTGCTGCACCATTCGGTTTCATTTGTTGCAAAAGTTGGACTGCAGAAAGAGGAAGAATAGTCCTACAGTTATGAGATTCTGCCCTAGGGAACAGAATTTTCTTCCAGACTTAGATGCCCAATGTGATGATGAAAATTCATTTGGTGGCAATCTTAGGATCGCCAAAGAAGTGATACAGACATGAAACAAACTATATGGCTTAATAATGACAAAAAAAGGAATGATAATCGTCAACAAATATACGAAACATGTACCCACTAACAAGGGACTAGAGAAATTATCCTAAAAAAAAATTGTATAACAGTTCATCAAAGATCGTAATGGAAACCCGCTTTCACTTACTCTCTCCCTCTCAACATTAAAATCCAGACTAAGCAAATACTAGAAAGCATTCAGCAAGGAATATTCATACACTGATACAAAGACTGACTGTGAATATATAAAATATAGTTAGCTTTTGGAATACAAATTATTACCTCAGAGAAGCCACTCAGGCAATGCAGATTTTGAATTCAAATTTTTAATTCAAATTTTGAATTACCTATTCTTTAATTAATGAATTCTCTCCTTCCCCCAAAAATACAAAACTGGAACACAGCAGTAATATATACTGTGAAATATGCTAAGTTGTAAGTCAAGGTTTGAAGCCAAATTATTCACCCTTAAATTTCCACCTCAACTCATACAACACTGTAGTGACATGCAGGCATCTAAGGACTTCCCCAGCAAGGTTCCTGCCTCCCCACCACCTCTGCCTGACACCCTAGAGCCAAGCTAGGAGCTCAAACTCCACACCTGGGGACACTTACTTACAGTGCTTGCCAGGTAGGAAATGAGCAAAGAGCTGAGCTCCAAAGCTGCCCGCCTGGCAAGCACTGCTCGCTGCTGCCACTGTGCCTGCCCACCTGCTTGCTGATGCTACTCTGCACCTACCCGCTTGCTTCTTACCCAGCAAGTGCTGCTCGCTGCTGCCACTCAGCACTCACCCACTCACTTCCTAAAAATCTATACGACTGGTAGCTCAAATAGCTGAGAATATTTCTTGAAACACCTATTACACCCATTCAAGCAATTTCAATGCGTATGTCAGAGATTCCAAAAACTTACGCATCTGAGTCTTCAGAGCTGGAGTCATCATGACTCTGTTCAGACTTCCACCTCTTGTGTCTATCAATGAGCTCAGTCAGGTAAGATGTTTTCTTTGCATTTCGTAATATAAATTTGTGTTTCAAGAGCTCCTTGGCTGTAGGTCGCTTGAAAAATAAAAAAAAAAGTAAACTGTAAGCTAGTCTAATTTTTACTGCATCTGAAACATGTTGAGATAACTCTCAAAGATTATTGTAACATTTTCTCCCCAGTCTAAGAGTTACACTTCTGACAAATATTAAAATGAGAAATCTTAATAACTTGTACATCTTCAGCTTTCTCTGCATTCAGATAAAGAATACAGCTTTGATGGCAGAGAACATCTTGGTCACTACTATAAAAC